CATTGTAAAATGATTAAAAATCAATAAAAAATGTTTAAAAATAGGATTTCTTTTTGAATAGTGTGTAATTCAGAGTTTTCACTAATTTAACCTAGACTTCTCTCCAATTAGTTCAAGTCAAAGAGCCATTCCTGTTGACACTGTGGATGGAGGCAAAAATAAATAGAAAACAGGACCCCAGCCTTCTTAACCAGAGTCTGACTTAATCTCAGGTTACTTATACTATTGCTTCCATGCCATGAGTCTGGAACCATCCTGCTTGAGCTTCTTTAGTCCCTAAATGGCTCTAATGTTTTGGCAAAGGGGTGGTTTTGAATCATCTGTCTCTTTAGCTCACTGTGACTAGTAACAAAAGAGATCCCCCAATCACACTTCTACCTATGAAGGCCCTAAGAGTTCAGGTTGATGTGGAAAATCAAGGGCACTGTTTAGAAAATGCTGCCATTGGAATTGGCCTAGCAAAGGAGAGAGGGAAAAAGGGGGCCTGGAAAATTTATTTTCTAGATAACCAAGTCTCAAATAAAAGATTTAGCAATGTATTTTGTTTTTAATGAAATTCCTACTTAAATTTGCCTTAGTGTAAATTTATTCTTGGCCTATTTAAGTGGCAATGCCAGATTCAAACAGGCAGAATCTTTTTTTTAAATCACTACACTCTACTGAGTAGTCTAGACAAAAGGAAGAATATATTCCAAAGTAAAAGGCAGGAGATTATAGGGTGTGTTTAATTAGCAGTTCAGTTTTTAACAGAATGCAGATTGCATGTAGGAGAGAATAGAAGGGAAGTGCAGAAAATTAGGTTGGGGTTATATACTGAAGGACCTTGATTGCCAGGCTCAAGATGAACTTTATATCAAATTTATAAACAAAAGATAGTCCTACAAATAACTAACACTGCACAGTTCATAAAGAGGCATCTTGCTTTAATTTTTCCACTGTGATCAGTTTGGGTCAAATGATTTTTAGTATGTTTTTAATAGTTTAATAAATTATGACTTCTTAAAAAGCTAGTAGAGTCTTCATTTCCATTGAATTTAGAATACTTTTTTTCCAAAAATTCACATCACAGTTTTTCTCTTTTGATACTTTGAAGTGTTTAGTTTGTTACTTACAAAGTATTGCTGATTCTTTTATTCCTCAAAATACCATATCAACAAACTTGTCATGATTTATAATTTTGTGTTTATAGATTATTACATATGGTTAATATGGTAAAAATTACTTTTGAAGTGCCAATTTTATTATGGTATTTCTCCTCCAGTTTAGCTAAGTATGAATCTATACTATTGTATGCTGGCATAATTTGGAAGTTAAGAAGTCTGACTCCTAATATGCTTCAGATATAAAGAGTGTTACTATAAACTATTGTGAATGATTTGTTTTACATCACAAGGAGTAGCATCCCCTTCAAAGCAATCACTTTGGGAAACTATCCACGTATTCTAATGCTGTTGTTATTGCTCAAATTACTTTTGAAACTACTCTTTTAGAATCGCCTTGAGGCCTGTAGCACGTTCTTTTGAATATCCTCCAAGTATCAAATCTTCATATTTTGAAAGTAGATGTGATATAGCTAGAAATCACTTGGAGACAAATCTGATGTGTAATCAGAGTGATGCTGTAATGATACCTATTTTCCTGGTGATACATATGAAGGTAATTCCAAAATATTTTGAGCAGTGATAGCATAATTTACATCAATGTATAACCTTTCAAGGTGACTACTTTGAAATCAAAGTTCGTATGAATTTAATCATGCTTCATTCAGTATTCACCAACTGCTGACTACCTGCCAGCTCCAGTTACTGAAGACACTCAGCTTCCAGGTATAGCTTCCCATTGCCCACACTGCCCTGCCTCTCACCAGATGAGAACCAGGCCAGAGCTACTTCCCAGCTGGTGAGGATTTAGAATGAATCTGCTATTCCTAAATCCAGTGTCCAGTATACCTACTGAACTGCAGCCCTCCTTCATTACCTCCATTGGGGTTTCCCAGGTGACGTGAGAAAGCCTCTGATGGAGTGCCTGGTTCATTTTCTCTTTTCCAACTGTGACATTGAGCCCTGCTCTATTCTGAGCCTTCCTCTAGCTTCCAACTTGCCCACAATCCTTAAGAACTGGACCCGGCCTCCCATACCCCCACCTATGGACCAGGGTACTACTTCACCTAAATAGGTCTATAAGCATGACTATTCAAACCTCTCTGCCCTGAAACACCACTCATGTCCTGAAACTCCCACTGCCATGTCGCTGCCAAGCAGATGAGCACGCATGAATAGCAGTTCTGATTGCTACCTCAGACACTCTATGTGGGACTTCTGAATACCCTTCTTCTGGGTTAGCTTTACTGGTTCCAGTTTCTTTCCCTCTCACCAGCCCACATTTGAGCTCTAACAAGCCTCATCATCATGTACCTGTGGGTGCTGGCACTATGTGCCAGATAATAATGATGTTTTTTACAAAGCTTCTCCTATTTTAGGGAAATAAAACAACTTCTGCTGTATTTGTTGTTTTGTCTCATTGTACAATCTCAACTCAAAATATCATTTATATCTTTACACCTAATATCTGGATCCATTTCCCCCTTTCATTGTTAAAGGCAGAAAATGTTTCAATAAACTTGTTGCTGTCAATGTTAAGTAAATATTTAATGAACACATAATCAGCTAGGACTTTTAAAATATAAACAGGAGCCTCGGTGTTTAATTTAATGTGTCAATTATTCATTTCCATAGCCGACTACCAGACCATACTGTGAGAGAAGATTGTTTTATCACCTCTTATTTCACCTTGTCCAATTTAATGAGCTTCCAATGTAATGAGTATTATCATTAACTTATTCGACATCATTATTAGAAGTGATATTCATGCCCAGCAAAATTAAATTTTTAAAAGACCAATAATAGGTAACATATGTTGAGTGCTTACTATGTGCCAGGCACTGTTCCAAGCTCTTATACATATATTAAGCGACTTAAGTCTTGTAACAGCCCTATGAAGTAGCACTATAATTATTCCCATTTTATAGATAAGGAAAATGAGGTATAGAGAGTTTAAATGACGTGCCCAGAGTCACAGAGCTAGGAAGTAAATGATAAATACAAATCTAGGTAGCATGACTCCAGAGCCCTTACTCTTAACTATACTGCCTTTACGCTAAATATACAGGGCAATTTAACATTTGTTTCGTACCCTTGACATCTCCGATTAGCATTAAGATCAGTTTTCCTTTTAAAAAAACAGAGTCAAAGTAATGGTAAAAGATAAGAGTAAAACAAAAGTTTTGTAAAACACCATCTACATGCAGATAGATTTTGACAGGTGATTATACCAGCACACATTTGAGAATCCCTTTGTATTACTGTTCTAGGCACAATGCAAAAATTTAGTGGATCATTTAATATAAGCACTAAAGAAATGTTTCTTTTGAATTAATTTTATAAAATAATGTTTAAGAAATATCAGAAATGTTGAAAAGAGTCGTATTATATTTGTGCTCAAATCACTAACAATGGCCTAATTCTACAGTCTTTATTCAGGTTATTAAAATCTGACACTTCCAATATTTTTAAAGATCCTGAATTCCTACTCCAAGTATAACGGTAGAGATTATTTTAAAAGGCTGATATCTGGCTGGTAGGATTAACAGGTAGTTGTGATTTTCTTATTTCTACTTTTAATGTATTATTTCCTAAAGTCTCCACAATATACATCAATTGTCTCTATTATAATCAGAAAAAAATTTGTGTGAACTTTCACTGAAATTAATGAACTAACCCATTAGGGTTCTTAAACAGCAATATCAAGGGTTGATGAAAAATTTAACTAAAGCAAAAGGTACAGGCCTACCTGAGACAAAAGTGTGAAACGAGTAAAGTTCCTTGAGATATTCCCCCCAACAAACATCCTTTTCAGTTCACTAAATGGAACATACAGCCTAGACAGCATATATGAGACAGATAAAAAGGTAGTCTACAAATGTACGTCACCAAATAATAATGTACATTCTATATGACACTGACATACCCTTTCTTTAGAGGTAGAGCTTAAGAATATGCATTTTGAACTCACTCCCCAAGTGATACTTAAACACACTAAAACCTGAGCATCACTATGTAGTGCTCAATAAATGCTTGTTAGATTGAGCATGAAGTTTTAATAAAACAAGCTGAATATTCGCATTTACTTGCTGCCCCAGGTCTGCGAGTCAGCACAATACATATATTTGAAGGAGTTTACAAGGATTTTCAGGGAGGATTAAGACATAACAGAGTGACCCAGGGCAAGAAGGGAGATACGACAGTTTAGAAAAATCTTCATATCTTAAATAAAATAGAAAACTAAAATATCTCTTTCTGATTATCTTCTTCCTCAGAACATGGACTCTGAAAATATGGAATCTGAAAATGCAGAAACTGAAAACATGGAAACTGAACACATGGAATCTGAAAACATGGAAATTGAAACTATTTCTTCAGTTTCAACTCTGCAGGCTCTCTCAAGACTACTTTATCCTGAAGAGGATGACTTTGAGTTCGAACAGGTGGTCGTATACTTACAGATGAATTCGTTCTGATCACACTAAGTTGCAAAACTGTATTTGAACAACTTGTTCCAACCTTGCTGTGGGAGCAGGGCTGTGTCATCTAATACATTCACAGGAGGTTGCAGGGCTGATTATGCATGAGAGTATAACCTCTAGTACATTTCTAGCAAACATAATTACATTTTTTCTAAACTACCTGAATGCTGAATAGGAAAACAGTTCTGTAACTATGGTAGCAATAGCCACATTTCAAAATGTTTGTCATTTATATTTATGGCCAAAGAATGCTTGACAACCATTGCAAAGAGTAGTATCTAGGATTTTTAAGCCTTGACAATATTTCTATAAAACAAATCATTTTAATTAGTCAGTATTTATTAGGCCCCCAAAACCCAGTCCCCTTAGTTTTTTTTTATTTGTCTACACACAAAAGCAGAACAAAAAATATTTTGAGCCAAATAATGGGACAAACTAGCTTCAGCCTATTAAAACTGGCTCCCGGCTACCTGCTCAGATACAGCTGCAGAATCTAATTAGTTGAATAGCATTAGGTCAGGGCAGGGAACCTCGGGGAGGCATGCAGCAGCAAGATGGGCGTTATTTTGGTTAGGAGAGTTCCATGAATTGAACTTTGGCCATTCCACATTCACTGCCAGTATTACCAGAAAAATTGAAATACTTTCATATAACCCCCTGCTTTCCATTCTGCTCCTCCTTATATATCAAACTGCTATACAAAGGCAAACAAAAGATGGGGCAGAAATCTCATAATAGAGCAGAATATATCAATTTGCTTTAAATTATTTTAGTGAAGTTCTTTGTTTTTATGACCAGTTTACCATGAATAAACCATCTCCCATGAACATACATATCAATTTTCTCCTCCCAAAATTCTTTCCTGCCGTAGTGTGGAAAAACAAGTAGTATAATTTAAATAGGCAGCCATTTCAGTGGTTCAGACTGACACTGGATTGAGCTTCCAGGAAGCTCCAGGGGGAAGTTAGGTGGAACAGGGCAAAATCAAGTAAAACATGCAGTGGAAATAAAATTTTGTAGGAAAGGGGAACTGAGTAAGCTTAGAGCCAGGATTAGGAACTAAGAGGTTTTAGTCAGAGAAAATTCTTAGTAGAGGCCAAAGAAATAAGAAAAATCAGGATGTTAGTAACAGCACTGATTATATACAACAAATAGGACACAGGAGAAAAAGTTAAGAGCAATATATCAATGAGGTTGGGAAGGCAAACTCATTTTTGCTACCTTAACTGAAATAGAATGATACATCCTGGGAAAGGTAAGGTTATGTCATATAGAAAAAGTGTAAATATTTGAGAAACAGTGATCTTGAATAAAGGGAAGTGGAACTTGTAACTGGAACAGATTCAGAGATAAGAATTTACCCTGGTTACAAAGCCTGTTTCCTTTGGCATTTATATCTAGAGATGTTTATTTGCATCTAGAGGTGTTTCCAGGGGAAGGATGAGTGCTTATGAGAATAGAGGGACTAGAATCATTCTACCAAATTGTACAATTTATAGAGGAAAATTACTATAATAATGTATGATGCTGTATATCTGAGTTAAAAGCAATTTTGAGATAATTGGTCATTCGGACACCGCAGTACAGATATCATTAGAGGATATGGAACTGGAGTATCAGAACAGTGGGAGAATAATTAATGTTTCTAATGAACTATTAAATTTTCCAGGAGAAAAATGGCTTTTCATTTTTTAGCATGTATTAATCTTGGGAACTGGAGAATGATTACAAGAGTGATGTTTTTCTGAAAATACACTCACTAAAAAGATTTTAGAACTGTTGCGTACACATTGGTTTATTTATACTGTCCTCACCATGAATTGTTAAGAATGTGGGAGATTGGGAAGAGAGCATGCCTGTTGTTTTTCAATTCACAAAGAGACCTTAAGACGTTGAGACATAATGTTCACTACTCTTCATAGACAATGTAACAAGGGTGTTCTAACACTCTTACATATTGCAAAGTGGTGTGAATGGCAATGATAAATGGCTCAGATAATTGAATGTAGTTTCATGGTAGAGACTGAAATGATAATTCTTATAGAAACAATTGCCAGATGGTTTTTAATGTTTTTATTATCCTGATCCATCTTTTCACTTGAAAATTTTATTTTTAATCATGTATTTTCATTAAGTTAATAAACTGAAACTCCCCCTCTGTTCTGATATACTGATCCAGTCATCACTGTCCATGGAGAGCATACCAATTTTTGTCAAGAATGGTCAAGTTTTTATTTCTACAGATTTTAATTTGCTGCAGAAGGAAGCACTCAACAAAACACGAGGCCCTCATGTTCCAAGAAATGCTTTACCCTGATTAACTATTAGTATTATTAGTATTCTCATGATTAATAACTTAAGAAAAGCACTGCAAGTTTATATGACATTAGTGATTAAAAAGAAAAAAAATGTACAGAATATTGTCTTGGGATTTTCACATTAAAATGCCTGTAACACCTTCACTGCAGACATAGCACTTTAGAAGCACCTTTTGCAAAGGAGTAGTTACTGTCTTAGAAACTGTTGAGATGTTATAGATTAATTTCTAATTTATAGCTGTTGGAATAATTTAGCATAATAAAAATGCAAGTGAGCTTTTCCACCAACTTTCAAGGACGGACACTATTCCTCTTGCCCAAATGGGACATTATACCTTTTGTACCTGCCTGAAATCTTGGGAGATAAGGGCAGGGACCTGGGAAAGGAGAATTAGAGATGCTAGTTGGCCTGGATCCAAGGAGATAAGAATTTTTGACTGCCAGCAATGAAGTAAATTGGAGCTGCTGAGTCTGACATCAGCAAGAACAATTAGTAAAAGAATGGGGATTTTCTTGAAATAGTGAAGAACCCCTGACAGGGACCAATGAGGTAGTTGCCTCTATACTGATGGTGTAGTATGTATTATACTTAGTTGAAAAAAGAAAACTGTTCTTCTATTGGTGAGCCAGGGGCAGTCCTGTGGGGATGTGTGTACTTGTACAGAAGATGGCAAAATAAACCTGAGCTTGCATGAAGACTCAAGTGGTTTACCATGTATTTGACACTATTAATTTGGGGTTGCTGTTTAAATCCACTAGTTCAGTGTTGTGAGGTGGTGGGACAAAGAAGTGTTTCACACCACAGTGGAAAAAAGTAAAAGCTATTATCAAGGTTTTGAATGAGTTGTTTGATGTCTAAATACTTAGACTCTGTTTAGTGGTTTGTTTTCAGTTCTATAAAACTTTTCCATACTTCTGTTTAGTGGTTTGTTTTCAGTTCTACAAAACTTTTCCATACTTCTGTTCCCCATCTAACTATGACCATACAACTGCGAAAACCGAGGGGTCAATGCTCTTATACTAATACTTGATTTTAACCTGCTAAGAGATGAATTTGGCTCATTCCCATATCCCCAGGAGAACATGATTCACTGGGCAGGAACTGGGATTTAGTCTGACCAAAGATCCATTCTGCCTTACAGTCTATTAAACCAAACACTTTTTGAAAGCACAAGGAAAACATTCAAAATAATACTTGACATCTGTCTCTTGGTTGTATAACAGTGATAGTTTAAAATTAAACTAGGAAGCTCAATGAAATTTTAGATGGGAAGCTTATCAAATTTAAGTATTACTGGTCATGTAAGTTATACATATAGTAATTACAGAATGTTGGACTTTTCTTCTCCTCCAGGCAAATAGTTCATCTGCTGTCGGAGCCATGGGTCCTGGGAATATTGGACCACCAAAAAGAGAAGAGCTCAAAAGTACGTTATTTAATAAGGCATGTAGATTGACATAATCAGTATAATCTTTTCTTTGGGAGCAAAATTATAGGGAGAGTAATACTGACTAACACTAGCACTTATCAAAGATGAACTCAAATAATTGCGGGAACAATGGACAGCTATTTACGTATAAAGAGGCTGTTTTTGCTCTACTGTTGCAGGTAAGTCACTTTTCTAATAATGCAAATTAGTTTGTCTTGAATGATTCACATTTTTGGAATATTTTCTAAGGTGGAAAACCAAGAAAGTCACATGTGGTTAGATAATTTTTTTATTATTTAAGGTCTAGTTACCAAGATGCTTAGCTTCTTCACCTTCTAGGCTGCTATATTCTGGTAATTTCATAGAATTCATTCATGAATTCATTCAATAAATATTTATTGAGAGCCTATTATGTATAAGGTAGTATCATCATCTCTGAGACTACAATGGAGATCAAAACAGAAAGGGTCCCTGCCCCCATTGAGCTAATAGTCTCTTGGAGAACACAATAATACAAATAACTACACAACTTTATCTTACATTGAAAGCTTATAAATTAAGCCCACAGGGTGACATATAAAGTCACAGGTCTAATAAACTAGAATAAATATTTTGGGATGTTTTCTGAGCATTTTGGCCTATACATTTTCACAGAGTTGAACATTTTACACATCTTTAAAAAATGGTCATGATCACAGTTACCAGAGGGTGGACAGGGAAAGGAAGTAAAGTACCTTCATCAATTTAGGTAATTGTAAAAGATTTTATCTGGAAAAATGTTTAAAATAATGACTAAAATGAGGTCTGAGTGGATGATTTTAAAATTTCAGTTATTATTGTTCTACATACTCAAGAGTCTATTTGCCTTATTCAAAAGATATTCACTCCATGGTAGACTAGTTCAAATTTGGATGTAATTCTGTGCTTCCTGTATTTCTGATAATATTGGTCTAATAATCTCTAAATTCTGAGAACAATGAATCATATGTGAAATGTTATATATAAATCGGTAATTAGGCTTTACAAAGCCCATGCTGGTTAGAAACAGAGCATTTCAAAAGAATTGGCAGAATTGAAAACCTGACAATCAGGTGCATTTCTGGGAATGCTTAAAAAGGCTCAAAATAATGTTCTACACCTAACGTGGGTCCTTTTGCTGCCCCAATAATTGGAACAAATGGAAGCTGGGATTTTGCGTGCCTACTTACTTTGAAACATTTAAAGATGACATGTAGAAACCCAGGCAAGTGCTCAGTTTAACATAAAGTATAAGTGACAGAGATTTTCTTTATAGCTCATGTCTACATGAGGGAAATACTGGTTTAAAAAATGATCATTGTTTCTATTGTTTTCAGTTTCTTTAACTGATAGTGTTTTTTAAGAATTATGACAGTGTGGAAAAGGTATCGAAGGGCTTTTATATAATAAAACACAATGCAAAATAAAACATTTCCCCCCAAATCAGATTGTATATTTGATTTGTTCTTTTATGTAAGAATATTTTACATATGGTCCTATTTATGTTTCTGAAAAATGTGTAATATTTCCTTGCATATATGTTATACATGATATATAATTTATATACAGTGTTTTTATGCATTAAATATGTATATATTATATATGTGTATATACATGTATACACAGAGAGAGAGAGACTGGAAAGATATCCACCAGAATGCTATCATTGACTATCATGGGCAGTTGCATTGTAGATTAATTTTCTTCTTTTATTTACATGTCTTTTCCAAACTTTCTACAATTATTATTATTACAATTCTTCAATGTATTGGCTGTGTACTAATTAAGATTTTTAAGTCAGTTGTTACTAATTTAGCTTCCTTTGACCAAAAAAAGAAGCTAGTGATTACAAATAGAAAATGTGTCACTTCAGTGATCCCAAACTGAGTGTGAAGAGGAACAGGAGCAATTTCAAGAGGTAAAACAGACAACAGCTTCAGCTTTATCTTCCCTTTCTTCCCAGTCATCCCTCAAACCAGCAATGAAAATAGGAAGGACATCTGGAATCCAGAGGAGGTTCTAGAAGGAGCAGAGCACCACGACATGTGGGATGTCAGAGAAACACCAGAGTAAGTCAAATGAAGCCGGGAACGTGTTTAGGGGTATAAGTTAGATGTGTCCTCTGATACCATTCTATTTAAGACAAGATTCATAAGGTGACTTCTACCACATAAAAGATAAAACTACGGTGACACACAGAAGCCATGTGTAATTGATGATTTTTTTTCCCTTCTAGAGCAGAAACAAATAGTAAGTCATAATACCTTCCTTTCAGTTATTATCTAACAAGAAATGAAAAATACAGTCATTTCCATTATAGATTTATATTTAATGTCGTTTAGTTGTATAATGTGGAACTAACAGTAGGTAAAACCAGCCCATTAAATTACAAGCATTCATACAGACTAAATTATTATGCCATGTTTATGTGTCAAAGACCTGCGTTTAATTACTCAGTGTTCCACAATTTCAGTAAAAGGCTATGTTCTCCCTCCAATTACCAGTTGTTACCTGGACTTATTTACCAGTTATTTTAGGATTATGTTTAGTATATTTTGCAAGCAGGATTAAAGGCTTGCTTTGTAGCCTTTTCAATAGGAATTATAAATATGAAAGTTAGAATTATTATCATAAAAAGCCTTTCATACTAATAAATGAAAACACTCATACTTTTAAGGATTAAAGTATGTTTACATCCATAATTGAAAGTAATGATTAAATACACTAAGCTTTAAATGTATATATTTTAAAATAAAATCTTGATTGAATATTAGAACAGTTTGAAAAACAAAGGCAATATTTATTAAATTATAATGTACTTTATAATTTCTTAAAGACTTCTGTGGCAAGGGATCTGAGAACTTTTCTAATTCTGACTGTAAAACCGTGTCCAATGTTTAAAAAAACCCCTATGGTTCTATCTGCTATGTCAGTTCTGAAAATAGAAACAGTGGCAGACTGAAGATAATTAACTGGAAAATAGTATCCAGTTTTCAAACAAACAACAAAAAAACCCCCATAAACCTCATAAACAAAAGAATTCAAAGGGGATTTTAAAATATTTCTGTCAGCATCTTAAATATGAAGGGAGTAAATCTCAGGTTAAGTGTCCACATATCCCTATGAGAGGCTAAGAATTGTCATTTGTTTCTCATATAGTTTAATGGACGTCAAGCATCCATATGTGGCAAACTCCAGATTTGAGTAAATTTTTACTTTCCATCCTGATGTGAGATGTTCTATAGAAAGAATATCCATGAAAGCTTTATGTGAATAAGACCTCCACTCAGGATATGAAGAAAATTGCTTTATAAGATTTTTTAATCTTTATTTTTCTATCTTATGCAAATGCATTTCAAAATGCCCCCATGGATAGAGGAAGATGGGTAAAAAACGTTAACAGGGAGATCATCAAAGAAGAAGCCCAAGTGGCCAAATAAAAAATAAGGGCCTGAACTAAGTCACTGGCCTTGGAGAGAAATATGAGGGTCTTTATTTGAGAGTTATTTGAAGGAGGATTTGGTACTTATTGGATATAATGAATGAGAGGAAAGCATCAGAAATGATGCTGAGATTACTAGCTTGGCTGACTGGGTGAACAGTGAAACCATTAACTGTGATTAGGAATGTAGGTGGAGGGTAAGTGGTGAGTTTGGTTTTGGGTGTGTGGCCTGTAAGGTGCCTTGGGACATCCAGGCAAATGTAAACAGTAGGCACTTAGAAAATTGTGTCTCGGGGTGAGGAGCAGGATGGCAGCTAGAGCAAATCCATGTGGGCGTCATGGGCATATAGATCAATATCTTTCTGTTTTGTTTTAACCTGGCTTCACCTTTGTAAATACCTGGTAGATGTTAAAGTCTGTTAAGAAAACAATGTCCCATCTCAAATAGCTACTTACTGTTAGTCTTGTTCCAGCTCAGAGAAATCTTCTTCATCCTTGAACAATCCGATTTACAAGTGGTTTGAAGTTCAATGTAGTCCCTTATTCTTCCTATCCAGAGATTTACCACGTCTTCATTAGAGTAGAATTAAACAGAAAAGGTCATTTGTAAATGTTTGCTTACTTCATTCCATCTAAAAAGATAGAGTACATTATGACTGGAGGTTTCTATAAACCATTCTATCCCTAGGGTCCCAAATTTACAAGCAAGGAAATATTTGTGAACTTGTCACGTGTGTGGCGAAATACCAAGAAAACCTGAACTAAGAATTATTTAGGATTAGATTCTAAACACTATAGCTGTGGCTGTACTGACTACACTACCAGTTTTTCTGTTATAGAATTTTAGAGGTGGAAAAAACCATAGAGATCGTTTAGTTCAAACCCACCCCCTCCCATAAATTGTACAAATCCAGAAGCTGAGACCACATGAGTTTTTGACTTGACCAAGATCCTACAGTTAATGACAGAAAGAGTACTAAACCTGGATTTTCTAACTCTACTCTGTGCTTAAATTTAGCAGAGGAGGGTTCTGTCTATCCATCAAACCCTGGGCTATGGGCCCACTATTCTTCTGAGCCATTGTTTTCTAGGAAAGGACCTTCCTTTTTTCTTTTACTTATGTTCTTATTAGAATCTTTTTAGAAGTTCCCTCAATCTATTTTTTGTATAGCTCTGAAATAGTTAAGCTTTATTTTTAGAAAAGAAGTGTATACAACATAAATCCTGCTTTACAGGGTGAGGGATTTTTGACTGAATTTCCAGACTTTTATTCCTTTATGTTTTGCTATTTGCCTGAAAAACTACAAGGACTTTATTTATCTTGCCTTTTTTTTGTCATAGCACAACCTCATAAGTTCCTAGTTTTCTGCTCTGCAACAGGAAATTGCTCTTTCACTTGAGTCTCTGTATCACTGACTTTTTTTTCAGATATGAAATTCTATTCAAACAGCAGGTGGGAACTGAAGATGTGTTCCTGGGATTGACCAGAAAGGACGCTTCAACTGCGTGTTGTAAGGATCTACTGGTAAGCCTCTCCCATCTTTCCCGTTTTCCATATGATCATTATAATTAAATTGATTGTTGTATTCATAATAACATCAGCAAGTCTATAAACTCTTTAAAAACAGTGGTTGCTATGTTTGAGGTACAGAGGGAATAATAAGATACACAGTTTAAAATTGGTAAACATGTACAAAATAAACTAAATTTACACATGTGGCTAAGATTTACAAATAAACCTAATAGAATCATATGACATAACACTATTTCTAGTCCGAATAAAACTGCCCATTCTGTTTGGATGCATTTTTCTTTCATCCTAATTCTGTTCCATACATGTCATGTGATTGGTTATTAATTTCTGATGAGGTGACAGTCAATTAAAATGAAATATTTCCTTCCCTGCATCTGTCTTGTCTCTTATATCTGTATTTCTTTTAATGACTCAGCTTATATTGGGGGATCTAAAAGGGGAATTTTTTCCTTAAATTTTAGATCTGAACTACTGACTTAAAGGTCTAAAAATGCATCTAAAATGTTACCTGGCTTCCTTATCTGAATAACATTATAGCATGTTGGAGAGCATCTTTTGCCAAACCACTGTTTCTATATAATGACAATAGCAATACCAACAATATCAATGTGACTATCTTACTTTTGCTTATGTAAGTTTCATAATGGTCTTACTGAGAAGTCTGAGCCTAACCAAGAGTGTGGACTGCAACTCATTTGGGCAATATATGCTACTAATTTTGGTGTTTGGTGCTGGGGATTTATTTTTTGAGATCAGGGGTTTGCATCTGTATTTTTCCCTCCCTCTCTTAGCAACCCTCTACAGTATAGAGTACTGAGGTGCCCATAGGAGATGTTTAATATTTTTTCTTAAGCAAATGATAAATGGAATTTCTCTTTTGCATAAACTTCGGGTTTTCTCTTATTAGCTAAATCTAAGACATTCAATTGGATCAAGTAACATGATGGGAATAGTGTCTTTAAGGACCTCAGGAGATTTTTCAAACTCTAATGAGTTAAGGTTTCAAGTGATCTTGAAGTAATTAGCTCCCAGGGTTTTACCAGTAATATTCAAATTTCTCTCTCTTAAATGACTGTAAAACTGTTTTTGATGTCTGGTATTGCAGATTGCTCTAAACTCTAAAGAAATTCTAGGCCCTAAATAAATAAAACTGTTGTGAGCCTTTTCATTTCTCTCACACAACTTGCTACTAGCATTAATAATAAAGGTAGGCTGAATGAAGAATCTTGGAAACTAAATCACACCTCAGAGTAGGAGTACACAGTTTATCTAAAACTCAGCAGGTATGTACAGAAAAAGGTTTGATCCCTCTCTCTAATGAACTTATAATTGATTGGGGAGATAAAAATAATCACTTTATTATTAACAAGTAGACTCAGTGTTGACAATTTTAAGTTTACCAGGAGTTCAGAGGGTTTGGATAAGATGGGGACACCTTTGAATGCCAGGAACAAATGATATATTTGTTGGTGCTATGGCATTCACCACATGTATAGCATTCTTTTTCTCTTTCTTTTTCTTCATACATTCAGTCTTTAAATACTTGGTGAATAACTACTACATACCAGGCCCTGTCCTAAGTCCTAGGGATACAAAGACAAATAAGAAACAGTCAATTACCCTCAAGAAATTTACAGTTAAGGACATGGACACCTAACAAATCATTGCAGTTCAGTATGGCAAGTATAAAGGCATATGCCAGGTACATGGTGACATAAAGCAAAAAGGGATCAGCACTGGGTAGACAGGATTTCTCAGGTGAACAACATTCTAAGAAGGCCATTCCAAGCAGGAGTAAGAGCACATGGAAAGGTATCCAGGCATAAAATAGCATGGCCTATTTGAGTTAGGACTGAGTGTGACAAGAATAAAGAATAATTGTAGACAGTAGTGCACTGGTAAGCTGTCTCTCAAAAAAGAAAGAAATGACAGATTTGTAGCTTGAATTTTATCCTGTAGGCATATTAATGATGACATCCACTGTCATTGCTTAACCTCACTGGGAAGACTCAGACTAAAGAGGTTATTGACCTCATCTCACGTATTTCTTGTGCAAATTTATAAGCTTATTATTCCTGTTAATAATATGGCATTTTCTCAACTCTAAGACATCATCAAGTTGTACATGTGTCATTTATTTAGTAGCAAAGGAAAAATAAGTATACTCAGTAAATATACACCTTGACTGTGTAATAAACATTAGAATGTGAGGAAAATTGCACCTTAGAATTGGCTAAATATGTTATCTGGATCCTGGACCTGGTCTATATGTAACAATCCAACCCAGAGACTTTAAGAAGACCTCTGCTCAAGCTGAGGAAGGTAATAGGAATACAAACAACCTGTTTAAATACAAGAATTGATTCGGGAGTTTAAAAATTTACAAGAGCCACCCTTTCCTTCACCCTCCCCAGACTCCAAATAAGAAAGCTAGATTTATGAGACCTAAATCAAAGTGTTTGTCCTAAACAAAATGCTGAGTTACGAATATGTATGTCTTCAGCAAACCTTCCATTCTTTCCTTCTAACCCCAACCCAAAGAGCTCCTTTATCCAAATCATACCTGCTACTCTACTCCTGAGTTTGTAGCTACCAAGCTTCCCTTGCCTGTAATCTATATTTAGGCATTTTATTTTTAAAATAAAAATTGTATATATTTAAAGTGTACAACATGATGATTTGATATACCTATGCATAGTGAAATGATTACTACATTCAAGCTAATTAACATATCATCTCCTCACATACCATTTGTGTGTGTGTATGTGTGTGGTGATAACACCTGAAATCTACTCTCTTAGCAATTTCTCAGTATTCGGTACAGTATTGTTAACTATTGTCATCATGCTGTACATTAATTTTAGAGCTAGAACTAGGCCAGTGGTTTGCAGGTTTGTTTTGTTTTGTTTTGTTTTTAGCTGCCTACTCTTTTCTTCAAACAAAATTCTAGGAGAAAGCCCAACATATAAAACAAATAAAAGTACTACTGCCCTGGTTAAAAGGGTGCCATCATCCGTGAGGCAGCTCCTAGGAGAAAACTGGGGCTCCTTAGAACACAGTTTGAAAGATGTTGATCTAGACTTTCCTCCTTATATGACAGTTGAGAAAATGAGGTCAAGCTTGCAAGGTATCAAATACTAATATAAGAGAGTCTAGAAGGCTTCTTCCTTCTAGGTGATATGCATGTTTTTCTTTAAACCTCATGAGTAGAATGGACCTGTCTAATTGTATTGTATTGCATTTTATATTTTTTTCTCTTTCATCTTCCACAGTCTCCATCCCTCCCCACAAGGCTTCTACTATCATAGACTTGATATATATCCTAGTAAACATATTTATCGTTGTTTTCTGTAATTTTAAAAATACAACAAATACTTATTGAGCATTTACCATAGGCCAGATTCTTAACATACAGTGTTGAACAAAATAGATACAAGGTTCTCCTTCTCTTCAGGCGCTTACTGTTAAGAGATCAAGCAGTCCATAAGCAGCAGGGAAGACTTTCATAGATCCATCCAATAAGGAAACAATGAATCCCAAAGGATGTATTTTATTACTTACATTGACAGCGTAAGCAAGATCAGCATGTTGTCAGCTCCCCATGTCCCTTTGCCTCACAGGACGACTTTGAACTGAAGGGGCCAGATGACAGGTGACGTGAGCAGCGAGGCACTCTCCAACTCTAGACTGCAGCTAAGCTGCAGTCTATACCCAGGGGAAGGGAGGTGGAAAGTCCTACACTCTATTGGAATTTCATGGCAGCCTCCTGCAAGATAGGGAGCCTCCCACAAGGTAGAAAGGCAGATAAGAGACAGCCTTGAGGCATCTCCTCACAAGACTGCCTGTCTTCCCCTGTTCTAGGAGGATCACAGGATGTTCTGCCAAGACCTGGGGCGGACTGCAGTTGAGCCTTGCCCACGAGGCCTATGTGGATAGTACAAGGTCACCAGAGTGCCATGGTGGAACCACTTCTGTACATTTACAGTCCATAAATCAAAGCTGTTATCCTGATTGTTTCACCAAACACGATATAATAATAACAGCAAACAATTTATATAATGCTTACTATGTGCCAGGCATTTTCTAAGAACTTTGCACATAGTAGCTCATCAATCCCCACACCAAAACTCTGTGAAATAAGTGCTGTTATCCCCATTTTACAAATGAAATTACTGAAGCACAAAGATATTAAGTAACACATCTAGACTCTGGCAACACTACAGTTTGAACCCAAGCAGTTTGAATTTGATAGGAGTATGTGCAAAGTGACAAAAAGACAAACACACAAAGGGAGTTAGGGGCACCTATCTTCCACAAAATGACACAACAAAGAGGAAATCCAAGTAGACTTCACAATATAGGTGGCATCTGATGACATTTGAAGGACATAATAGTTTGTCAGGGCAGAAAAGTTGTCTAAGCACAGTAAACCGCATGAGCAAAGGCATAGTGCTATGAAAGTATACGATATGTTTTCAGAGCTATTTGTACTGTTCTTGGAACCCCAGAATGCACTGGTGTGGAGTAATAAAAGATAAAACAGAATAGCCAGCTTACAGATAATTGTAAAAGTCTTTGAATGTTACTATGTGCTATGGATTGAATTGTGTCCTCCCCCCACCTCTGCCAAATTCATATGTTGAAACCCCGACTCCCAAAGTGATTGGTATTCAGAACTAGAGCCTTTGGGAGGTAATTAGGTTTAGATGAGGTCACTTGAGTGGGGCCCTTGTAATGATATTAGTGCCCTTATACAAAGAGACACCAGAGAGCTTGCTCTGCTTAGTTTCTCTCCCTGCCATGTGAGCACAGTGAAAAGGCAGCCATGTATAAGCCAGAAAGAGAGCTCTCACCAGAAGCCAACCTTGCTGGCATGTCTGGCATGCTCAGACTTCCAGTCTATAGTATTTTGTTATGGCAGCCCAAGCAGACTAACACACCATGAAATTTGGACTTCGTTTAGTGGTCAGTAGAGTTCCTAACCCCCGCAT